TTTTTTTTTTGTTTTGTTTGGATCAGTCTGCAGTGGAAAGAGGCCATCAAAGAAGGACAATTCATTAGCTGCTGGAGCTGGGAAACAGTAATTTCCTAAGCCCTAAAACTTCAGTTGACTGTGGGGCTGGTAAGTAGAGGAAAACAGTGCGACAGGAGAGGGAAAAGTGATTAGCTATGAGGAAAACAGCAAATACCTTTGAAGAGCTCAGTCTCCTCCAAATCATTTGTTTCTTAACACTGGCAGCTGTGCTAGTGAAGACCAAAGACTGTCCAGGTGCAGGGAGTTAATGGATTGTACCATCTTTTCCCAAACCCCTCAATGCTTTCAATGTGGCACACAGGAGGAGAAGCTCCAAAACTGAAGGCATGGAAAGTGAGAAGGCTCTTGTTATCTGGCCTACCTACTCGAAATAACCCATGAGCTATTCCCTGGCAAAGGAGGCATGGCAAGAACATCCCTCAAGTGGGAGACGGAGGAGAGCCTGTTTTAGCTCTGATAGGGAACACCCAGGAACCCTACTCACCACCAATGGGAAAGAGACTCCATACATCATCCACCAGCAATCTCAAAAGCCACAACCTCTTCTAAATGAAATTTGTTAACATGCACATACACACTAAAGGAGTTTCAACAAAAAATACATTGATATAAAGGTTGAACTATATAAGGGACTCTACCAAAGTACAAGAACGACTGAGGAAGCAGACAAAATATTATTCATATCTGAGTTGTATGAAAAAAAGAGAAACCGGGAAAAGATATATCAGTTAAATAAATTCAGCCTCACACTAGTATTTTGAGGATTACAGCCAGTGGGACTCTGTAACTTAGCTGGACAACCTGGAAAAAGAAGTACTTAATGGTTGATAAAGAAAGGGTAATTGAAAATATTGAAAAGTTTAATGAATTCTTAACAAAAGGACAATAAGATAGCAGAAAGATGTCTACAACCCACATTTATGTTGCATTGTCAAAAATAGAACACACATCTTCATTTCTTCATTTTTTTAGTTAGTTCCAAATGGTTTGAAAATTTACAATGTAAACATAACAGTAAAAAAACCCCACCACATTCCAAGGATGTGGTACATCACTTGAAAACTGAACTGCTTAGAAGATGAGATTTATTAAGTAGCCCTTCCTTTTCATCTCAAATCATAAAGATTTTGCAGATTAAATGATACGATCCAAAAGCTACACACTGTAAAAAACTCCATATGGGTTTTTTTTCTGTTCTGCTGCTTTGGGTGTTAGAAACAAGTGTAATGTGAAATATATACAAATGTATTCTTATATAGCTCACAAGTGACCCTCCTTGTCAGAAGAGAAAGCAGAGAATAACATGGTTATGGCCAGATCAGGACATTAGCCTCAGCAATAGAAAAGAAGCCTGAGACTGCTCACCCCAAAGCATAGATGTAAGCAACCCACAATTACTGAATTACTTTTGCAGGCCCATTTTTATTCTCAGGAGCATTTGGGCATGTGCTTGAAGTTAAGCATGTCTTAAACATTTTCAAGAACAGGCATTCTTTAACTGAGGCTTCAATGTTTCCTCTAAAGCAATTCAGACTTTTAATTAAGGATCCATTCTCATGTCAACCCTGAAGACTAGACTCTTAAAAACAAGCTTAATTTTTTTTTTCTTTTTAAATCACAAAAATTTCTCCGTCAAAACATTTTTTAAAAATGTGTCATGTGAAAAGATCCTACCTACACTGGAAATGAACATACAGTCTCTAGGAAGGCTGAACAGTTGAACAGCAAACATTCCAGTCACGAGTTTTACAAAAGAATTAAGGGTTCATCCAAAAGTTTTTAAAACAAGAAAACCTGCTTCTTTTAATACCAACTACTCTAAGAAGAGTTTGCCTCTCCAAGTCTAGCACATTTTTGGCACAGTCTGTGCTCTGCTGAGGGCTCTAACCACAACCATCCGATGGCTGTCACTCTCAGAAGAGCCAGTGATTGACAACACCTCAGAAACCCTTAGAAGAAACAGCCAAAAGAAGAAGGAAATGCCAGGATTTGGTCCAAGAAAGGGAAAAATCAAAAGGCAGGCATTTAGTAATAAGCACACATGTTTGGAGGTCCTGGGTTTTTTTTTTTTTTTCCAAGAGACTGACTTTCTTGAAAATACTCAGGAATTCCATTACAATTTTCACTCAAGGACTGAAAACACAGTAGATGTGACAAAATTTCTCACAAGAGATGATTAGTAGGATATGACAAAAAAGAACCAAAAGAGCTTACATTAAAAAAGTGTGTGACAGCTCGTGCCAGAGGACCCCAAAACACTGACTTCAAAGCCACTACAAAGCAAGAACAGTACCTGACACACTTTGTTAGCAAAATTTCTTTTGGACTGAAGAGTGCTTCTGTGACAATTTTAAGGTTCATAAGGACAATAAAGCTAACAAAGATATAAAAGCCTGGCCCATTGATCAGAGCAGGAGTTACAACAAAAAGGATGCATTATCTGACTATCAATTCTCTGCTTCAAGAATGCGAGCAACTACTTTAATTTCAGATGTCTTTCAGGTTGAAGTTACCATCACTAGGTACAAAAAATCTTCTGAGACTTATTCCCTACTAATTTTTTTAGGACTTCTCACAGCATCCTTTGAAGTCCATTTTGTTGACATAAATTATATAAAATCTGTAGCCACCACCAGCTGCCATTTTAATATTACTACTAAAAACAAAGCAAAAACATAAATATGAAGCTGGCCAGGTAATTTCCTTATTCTGCTTCAGTTGTGTATTTCGCAACTGTATACTAATGTATTACCAATAGCAATTTAATGGGAGTTCTCAGGTTTTAGTTTCTTTAAAACCATCTTTTCCTAGGGTTATCAGTTTATCATCCACAGCCTAACTCCTACACTTTATGAAAGTTTTTTATTTCACACAGAACAGCAGATTACCTTCTGAATTGTCATTATGGAACAAAGGTATGTCCATCAAGCTCTTTTTTAGTTATAGAATACTTCACATATATGTCAAATGAGAGAAGGAAACTAAACACCCCAAAGTCTCAGTATGCTATTCAGATATCAAAATATGTCCCAATGTATAAAACACCTCTACTTTTGTTCAATGTTAATAACTAAGTTTACAAGACTGCTTATAAATGTTCTTAAGGAAAGCAGAATTTTTTTTGCAGAGCTCCAAAGGTACATGGAGTGAATTTAGTCTCTCTGTAATTTTTTTCATGGGTTTTCAAAATGAGTCAAGGAACTACTGTAAAGAACAGCAAATTTAATTTTATGTGCATAATATGTAAATGCCCATCATCTAGAATGCTCTAATATAGTGTGTCATCTTCTTTTCTGTATTTGTCAGGGCTTTTTTTCCACAAAGTTACTCAATTCTCTTCTGGTCCTTCATTTATTTTTATGACATATTTTTATATTACTCAGTATTTCTCAAGCTTATGAGATTACTAAAATCAACGCATTTTAAACTTTCATTGTGCAATTCTGTCAGAAAGCACATATACTGGAAAACTGTTTTTAGAGTTCAGACAGTCTTTCTCGTAGACCACTAAATACAGTTGCATGATTTTGATGTATTTCCTTGCTTTATCAGCCATATCAATCTGATGCAATCAGCACTAACTTGCTTTTTCCCTAAACAAAAAATATACACATACAAGAGAGAACAGAATCAAATCTAATACTTCTATATCTTTCACAAAGCTATATTCTCCTTTTCTTTTGGGGACTGAAGCACTGTGACTTCTGACAATTCAGAATGGACAGCAATAATTTCCAGTCAACATATAAATCATACTTTAACCATTGTTACTAGTGATAATGAAAATAATTCTCTTTTACTTACTCAAAAGAAAACTACCTTGGCACCAGGCATGAGAAATGTTTTACTGAAAATTTTGCTAGGTGCTTTGTCATTGTACATGACTTAATTATATAAAGTACTTTGTAAAAGAAATTCTTCCTTACATCTGTACTTCTCTTCCAGAAGGCCTTTAGAAAGAGACATCAAGCCAATTTTCAGGGACTGCACTCGAATTTTTCCAGTTCGGCCACTGAAATGATAAAGACAAGACAATTTAATACAGTTTCATTTTATTTCATTCCAACTCAAGTCTATTATATAATACAAAGACATTGGAGATCTATATTTCAAATATATTTCAGATCTCAAAACAACATTAACATTAAAGATCACATTAAGAATTCTTCCCTTATAAAAGCTCAGCTTGACTTCCAAGTGGTTTATGTGTCAAAACAGCTTGTATTACCACAAAAACACAGGCATTTAGTTCTGCAAAGTTCTGAAAGTAATTTATTAATGTCATACACACAGAAAAAAATACATGAGCACACAGCAGGAAGGCCTATTACTCAGTGTGAAACACAAGAACTGTAAGATGAATCCAGGTTTTGACATCACAGTAATTAAATATCTTCCTTTTTTTTTTTTCTTTGTTTTTGTTTTGTTTTGCTTTATGTTTAAAATGCTCTGACATACACAATTTTAGGGCAAAGAGGCAATGCAATAATTCAAAAATTTGAAGCTGTCATTCTTTTTAAGCAGTGTCACTTCAGGCTCATCTTGTCCAGCATGACAAAAAGTATGTCCAAACCTGAAAAGCAAGCTGAGAACAGAGAAGTAGGTACCAAAGCAAGTAATGTTAAACCTGCAGGGCAAATGTTGTTCAAAAAGATATTAAAACAACAAACCCAGCTTACAGGGAAAAGGAAAATTTTAAAGTTCAGAAGATCAATGCAGAAACATATTCTTAAAAATTCTTTATTTTTTTCAAACATGAAAAAGTATGTTTTTAAATGAGATGTGGAAAAAAAAATCTTTAAAATAGTTAAACTCTATATATTACGTACATAAGGTTAGCTGGGTCTTTCACCAACAAGTAAGATAACAGTAAATTAATTATCACTTCAAACCTTACTTTGGTCCTTTCTGCCACACAGAAGTTATATATACACTTTAATTACTTTTGAAGTGGTTATTACATATCTCTTTCTATCCTACCCATTCAGCATAAGGTCTGCTGTCTGATTTACTTCACAAATGTTGTGCAGAATACAAAATTATCAATTACTTCTGAGTTCTTGATAAATTAGCTAAGAAATTTAAAAATATTAGTGCATTTGTCTTCACAACATCATCTAATCTAGTAACACTAGAAAGCAGTATCTTTATTCCATAAGACAGAACAGAGGTACAGAGAAATTATTGCCAAATTAATCAAAAACATCTATTACTTTTACTATCTAGTTGGAAAACCAGGACCCTATTTTCCAGAATGTTATAAAAGTGCCACCTTTTTATATATTCAAGCATAGCTTCAAATTACCTCTTTCAATCACAGACACTACATCATTCTGGCAAACCTTGCCATCTAAATGGCTCATTTTACACCCTGATAAAGTTATTTCCCTATTCCTTCCCGTGTGTAGTTGTTTGTGCTTTAAATTTATATTCATCAGAAAAAAAAAAAGTGAACATTCATGTGGGTTTGATTTAACTCGGGACTGACCAGATAATTTGCATATTAACGTCAGAAAGTGAGACTGCAGCTAAAAGATAAGGGCACAAATCTCAAGGCTTCAAGCTTCTCCTGATTCCAGGAGATTTCTGTAGGATTTTTGAAAAACTTCCTTCACACAAAGAGCATTTTCTCAATAAATTACATACATAATTACAAAGCCCGGAATATTACATTTTTTGAAAGAGTAATGCATTCACCCCAAGTCTCTTTCTTGGAAACAGATAATTATTAGGACTGTAATGTCATATATACAATAAAAAAAACCCAACACGCCAAAACCAAATGCCACACACACTCCCTCTCTCCCCCTAAATCCATAGACATTGTGATCCTGACATTTCCAAGCCAATGGTTTAAGTTTTCTCATCTTAGTGAGCTACAAAACCACTGAGAGTAGGAGGGGCGTCCAAAAACCAATGTTCCTGCTCAGTCAGGTAGAGCAGGTTTTCCTGGATCATTTCCCATCATTTCAGTATCTTCAAAGATGGAGAGGGAAGAGCTTCTCTGAGTAACCTGTGGCGCTGCTTAATCACTCTTACATTAAAAACCTCTTTTTTTCATATGTTTAAGCAAAATTTCCTGTGTTCCAAGTTGTGCCTGCTACCTTTTGTCCTGTCACAAGAGACACCACTGAGAAAAGCCTGTCTCCATCTTCTCTCTTGCTCCCACTGGGTATTTATGCACATTGATAAGATCCCCTCGAAACTTCTCTTCCCTCAGCCTCTACTGGTTTATCAGTTACTCCAAGTCCTTAATTGTTTTCATGGTCTTCACTCATGCCAGTTCATGGCATGAACTGGACTCATACCAGTTTGTCCATGTGTCTTTTGTCCTGAGGGAGCCCAGAACTGGACCCAGGACTCCAGATGTGTCTCACCAATGCTGAGCAGAAGTGCAGGATCACCTCTCTCAGCCTGCTGGGAGACTATCAGGCTACTTTGCCACAAGCCGGTCATGCAAAGTGCTTCTGAATGGCAGCACAACCATCTACGTGTACAAAACCTAAGAATCAAGGCCTTATAGTGGGAAGATTCAAGAAACTTTTTAATTTCTGAATTCATAAAAATTTATGGGCCATATATGCCACAAATGTCAACACACTATTCAGACTCATTATAGCAATACAAGCATGTTTGTAACTACAAAATCAATTGATAAGGCCACTTTAAGCAGCTCAGATATTTTTTTGCTCTGATCTGATGAAGGGGAGCCTGAATCTATTCCCTTCTCTAAATAACTTCCTAACACAGAGCTAGGATCCAAAACATCTTGACAGGCAAACACACTCTATACCATAGTTGAAACCGAGGCCTGTGAAACCTGTAAATTATTAATATACTAATCAGGATATAATTTATACTAAATTTTTGAATGTAAGTGCAAAAACTTCTGTTTACCAACAGTGGTATGCAAGCATTCTGTAGCTTATATAAGCATATAGCATATATAAGCATTTTATCTAAGTATGTGAATGCCAAAGGGACAATCAGTGATGGGCACAGCTGCATACAGGAGTTAGCCAGATTTAAAAAAAGTTGACAGACAGGAAACATGATTAAGTGTAAGAGATTGCAAACAGGAATACACAATAAAGAATCTTGGAAAATGAAATTCTAACATGAAGTCTAGAAGAACCCTATGTCCCTGGGAGAAGAGGCACAATAGCATAAAAACACCAGGTACTAGCAAGGAAACCTAGAGAATGAAGATGAGTCCAGAGCCATTCAGCCTTCTGTCAAAGAGCTCCAAAGCCTAGACAACACTGGCACTGCAGCTGAGGACTACCAGGGACTGCAGCTATCAGTTGTCTGCATAGCCCAGCAACATGAGGCAGGCTCGTAGATCAGTGAAGGTCAGCACAGACACCTCCCCGTGATCACCTTCAGACAGGTCAGATGAAGGAGCTCATTTTCCTGCCCTGCAGAGGGCCAGAACCTTCCCAGAGCCTTCTTGCTGCTATCAAAGCCTGCTAAGCTGCTCCCACTGAGTGCTCTATGAATCCAAACAACCATCATAAACACAGGGGATGCAAGTGGAGTGCATGCAGAAAATTTCCATCAGCTACTGTCAAAACCAGGGCATAAAGTTAAGGCTCACTAAGCAGGTATCTCATCCTCATTCCTCAGAAGTTCAGATCTTACTGAAATGAACACGTTGGTAAGGCCTGGGATATTAATTCAGGCTGGTGTTAGAATCTGCCAGGTGTATGAGTGCAATGAAAATAAAGTTGTGATTCTTCAGGGGAAGATTGGGCTGCAGAGAATGATCATGAAAGACAGCTCTGATCATATGGAAAATTCCACCATAGATACCACAGGTACACTTCTCAGACTAATGTACCAAAGAAATTAAATTTAAAATAAGTTATTATCAAAAGTATCCTAGCATTAAAAAAAACTCCTAACAAAATTTAAAAGTTAAAATACAGGAAGTCAGATAAACATTGCAAAATATTTAAACATTGCACATTAAAGTTTCGTTATTGGTAATTCTAGTTGAAATGAGTCATCGCCCTGAATCAGTACATATAGAAGCAACTCTTTTCAAAAGGTGCTAAACTATTCCATTAGTACTGAAATCTATCAGTCCTTTTGATATAAAAGATGTCTGGAGATTTCAGCAAATTTGACAATATACAGTTGAAAAGAAAAACCACCAGCTATTGCTTTTGGATGCTTTAAACACAAACCCAGCCAAAGTATTTTACAGAGCAAAATTCCCTTCACAGTTCTCATTGTAAATTCCAATATATTTATCTCTAATTTCATAAAAAAATAAAAATCTTTGGACTAGCCAAAACAAAGAACTTAAAAATTTGGAAAATGTTTATAAAGGCAGATGTTGATGTCTGGAACAACCTTTGAGTCCTTGATGTAGTAAAAGTCACTGAGTAATTTTACTGTTTCTTTCCTCTGCTCAGAATGAATCATTCCTAATGTGTCAGAAAATACCAGAACATAACAGACCTTTTAAAAATAAATTGGTTCTTTTTAAGGCCCAAAGACATCTGCAGGTTAAGTCTGGAGAACTATTCAGTTTGTCATTAATCTTTGAATCTGTAATTAAATTTCAGGTTAGCAGCATGTGACTAACAGATGCTTTTTGTTGGCAGTTTAACAACTTGACACATTTTATACGCATAACACCAATGCACTATATATAATGTAAATGCCAAGACATAAATTAGCTCTTTTGTACAGGCCAGTTTAGAAAACAAAACCAAATATTCCAGCTTAGAATTGCTGTCTGGTCTTCTAGCTTTTCTTTTTCTTCCTGGAGTAAATTTGAAAAGGGAACAAGGAAACACCCTGTAAAATATAATTTTCTCTCAGTAAACCTTCATCCTCAATTTTTCAAAGTTTAAATAAAGACTCAAGTGTTTAAAGGGGCTTGAAGAATTACCTACACTAAGTTTTCAACATAATAGTCAAGGGGAAATGGGAGAAACTGGAAACATTATTGAAAGAAAGGTTTGCTGCTTACCAAGTGCATTTTAAATATGCACAGATTAAACAATTGACTTCTACCTGAAGTCAAGATGTAGATGAAGTTAAGATGCAAAGGTAAGCTAAAGAAAATGAAGTAGGTTTGTGTTCAGTCTGAAAGAAAACAAAACCCAGCAAGGAATTAGAAAAAAATTTCTGACATTACTATGTCTATTATTTTAAACTGGCAATAACATTTAAGTCAAGCAATTCACTTGATCTACTACTTTATTTGCAAGCAATGTGTTTATTTATCCACAATATGGAACTCTCCAAAACCAAAACAAATGCAGGAAGAAATCCAAGTCAATATTTGATGGACCCTCTCATTTTTCAGCAGTAATGGGGAGAAGTCAGACTAACGGAAATGTCACAATATTTAACAGGAATGTTTGAATGCCAGTAGCCAGCAGATAAATGACAAATGGCTCTATGTACTCTGTTCCCTCCTTCCCTCTCCCCTAAAATCAAAATAAAGTAAAATATCCATGAAGTATAGAACTGTTACATAATCCTCTGAGGGAAAAAAACAAAAAGCAAAAAATTGTTAGAATTTGGCACTTAGTTAACATATTGAAGATAATGCATACATCTACAAGTAAAAGCTCCCATTTGCAAAGTCAGGTATAATAATTTTTATTGCTATTCAAGAAATACTTTTGCTCTTTTCAACTTCAAATGGGGAGAAAAAAAAATTTGCAACCACCCTCATGGAGCTTCTGATCTATAATTCTGATCTGTAATTTTGTTTATAGCTCTGAACTAAAGCACATATTCAATCAGACATACTGAAGCAACCACAACCTGGACTGCACTAGTGAGTCTTTAGTTAGCTCTGAAAGAGTCCTGAAATGCCTTTGCTGAAGCCATATAAGGAGACATCTTAGGCCATAGACGAGCTGATGGAAACCAAGCCTTTCCCAAGTTTTTACTACACAAGGGAGATAAGAATAGTAAATATCGCTATGAAAAATAAGCAACAAACTCATGACTCTGTCATAGTTTTACAAAAAAAATATTCTTTAGGCAAACTGAATGCCCTTGGGAAATACAGCCTTGCTGCCAGGACAAGGGCACGTGGACCATGAAACACCAACCCTTCAGAACTTATCCATGGCAGGAGCTATACGTGCTGGAATGGAGCCACAAAGAGGACACTGCTGACCCTCCAGAATCGGACAGGCTTTAGTGCTGAGATCACAACAACCTCCATTTGATAGAGGACTCAGAGCAGGGAGCTCAGCCAGGATTATGAGTGCCAGTAACTAAGTATAAAATATATGAAAAAACTGCCCATCTATGGCAGAAATAGAATCTGATATGAATGGCCACCAATCTAGTAAACTTGGAATACTCACAGTAGGATCACAGCTAAAGCAGTGTCCTAGCTCTCTACTCAAATATGCATTTTTTAAAATCCTTTCAATGTTTCTTTGGTAGTAGTACAAAAGCACTGTAATCTTAGTCCAATGCTGAGCAAGACACTTATTGCATGCAACTGCACTTCCATTATGAAGCTGAAACCATCAGAAGATAACTTTTTAATAAAGAAATTTTTAAGGCTTTATAATTTAGAATTCCTGGGGGTACACATTGCAACAAACAAACCATTTTTCTTACCTATCATACACGTTGAGTAGCCAGTTAAGACACATGTCTACACAGAGACGAACATTCACCATATCTTTGTTTTTCTCTTCAAGTCCACTGTAGATGGTAGTGAGACAGCTGATCACATCCTGGACACCAATCAGCTGATCATTTTGACTCAACTTGTGCTGTTTGAAAACTTCACTTGTTGTATTCAGGTCCAACAGGTCCACTAATAATAGATTTAAAAAAATAATAGGATTAAAAAAATAAAATAAAGTGTGAATAAACATTAACAGTAATTGTTTATGTGCAAATTGTAGCAAACACTGCAAACAACTTGTCCTGCCACAACGTTTCAAAAGGCCTAAAATCTGCAACCAGTGGCTTTTATTTATTAAGGTACAGTGACAAACCATTCTCTGTGACAAGTCAACGGCATTTGGGCACTATTTATTTAAAAAAAACTAGAATACAAATATTATAATGGCACTGCACAGCCCAGAACAACACTAAAATAGCTGCTAAACTAGTCTGTGTAATTAGAGGATCCTAACTTTGGATACACCGACAGAGAATTCATGAGGCTTACAGGATTCTTCATATTTACCATAAAGCAGAATCCTATAAAATTACTTTTGATGAACGTAAAGCAAAGAAAATTATTAGGTAAGAATTCTTTCCTAAAGGCCTGATTAACTGAATAGCAGTTGCTAAATTAGGGCTTAAAAGAAAGCATGGAGATTATTTATTGCAGTTTTCCAGAACACCAAAAGCTATGCTTTCTTAAAAAAATATTTTTATCTCCTTTATTACAGAATTCTTTCTATAAGCAGTTGGTGATGCAATGGATATTTTACAGGGGGAAAAAGGGTTTTGTTCTCAAAACTTTTCAAATGTGATTGTGAAAATCTGGGGGTTGCATGGTGAAAAGGCCATCAATGAGCACTTCTACCTCCTTCTGCAAAAGAAAGTGGAAAAGATGAAACATAAATGGTATACTCCTCAGTGATTTTTTTTTATGGAAGCAAGGACTTTAAGTTAAAAATATAATTGCAATGTATGCTTGCTACAATATACATAACATGCAGTTGGAGTATATTAAAAGCTCATACTGAGATGTTTGTGGAGAGTCAGTAACACATTTGCACTATAAATCTCATCTCTCAAATGAAAAAAAATCCACATGACAATCTCTGACATGTTGTGAACTGCTCTTCACCAATCATCCCAATGAATCATAGAATCAGAAAATTATTTTTGTTGGAAGAGACCTTGAAGATTTTCTAGTTCCAACCTAGAAACTTGCCATGGCAGGCACACCTCCCAATAGACCAAGTCTCATCCAGCCTGACTTTGAACACCACCAGGGATGGAGCATCCACAACTTCTCTGGGCAACCTGTGCCAGTGTCTCACATCCTCACAAGTAAATAATTTCTTCCTAATACTTAATCTAAATGTCTTCTCCTTTAGTTTAGAACTGTTTCTCCATGTCGTATCACAATCTGTCCTTTTAAAAAAGCTACTCTCCCTATTTTTTATAAGCCTCTCTTAGGTACTGAAAGGCTGCTCTGAGGTCTCTCTGGAGCCTTCTCTTCTTCAGGATGAACAACCTCAGCTCTCAGCCTTTCCTCATAGGAGAGGTGCTCCATCCCCATTGCTTGCCTCTTGACCTGCTCCAACAGGTCTACATCTTTCTTGTGCTGAGCACCCCAGATCTGGAAGCATTATTCCAGGTGGGGTCTCACAAGAGCAGAGAGGGAGAACAACAATGTTAAATAAGGAGCCCAGATTTGCAGCCTGTGCAAACAGGATAATTCTATCTGGGCTGGAAAGCAAGGTCAACAGAAAAAGAACCAAGAGCAAGACAACATTAACCATATGAGTAACTCTGTCAAGAACTCAGTGACCATCTACCAAAAGCTTACATTCCCAACCCCTTTTCCCCTATGTACCCTTCCTCACATCTTTGTGAAGTGAGGAACAGTACCTCGCAGCCCTTGCCTTTCCTCTCCTGCACTAAAATTGGTACATTCTGTTCTCGTCTCACAGTATCAGATTTGCAGGGGTTTACATTTGTTTGTTTTTCATTTTCTTTTTTGTTTGTTGGGAGATATCTTAAGTCCTTCTCCAGGGCTTGCAAACAAATGCCAGCCATGCAATTATCAAAGAGGCAGACTGGTAATTGCAGCAAAACACCTTGCCACCAGTTTGACCTGAGGTAGCTGAAGTGTTTGGCAATACACTCACTGCAGCATAATCTTCTACAATAGTTATAAAGGATGTGATACACTGCAAAAGGCTCACAGGCATATGTAAAAACAACATGAGCCCACAAACAGTTCACAGTGTAACCCTGACTACTTTTTGAGATATGGAGGGAGTAGAGTGAAGCCAAGTGAGGGTAACCTGCTGTCCCCATGACATACATACTGAATTTAGGAGATGGCCACTTTTCACACTTCCCCTTCATGACTTCAAAAACCTTAATGACAAAGAAAACCCTGTAAAAATTAATGCAACCAGTTTGCTGTTTTTGTTTTGGTATTAGCTTTTAATTTATGTTTGAGTCATAGGAGTTTTTTGATTGTTTGTAGTTTTTATGTTTTCTGGTTATTTTGCAGCCTGTTTCTGGTTGCACAAAGAACCCCTTTTTAAAGCTTGTGAAATTTCAGAAAGCTTTGGAATGCCAGGAAGTTGTAGCCTTTGGCTTAACATTAGTATCCTTGCACTGAAAAGAAGTAATTCAACAGACACTAAGCCTGCTAACTTCCCATCTTGATCTGCTGGCATTAAGATCTCTCATTCACATTTCTGCCTGAGCATTCCAGAAGGACCTGGGAGAGGTACTTCCAATATTTTTGTACTAAAAAATACAGCAAGCCTGATGCTACACTAATGCAAATTAAGCTAAACTTACGCTTTTGGATGGCACTATCCATGGAGAACAACCAGAGGAAATTACTTTCATTCCTGCTTACTTCAGCACTTACCTGACTGAATAAAATTTGGGACAGGCAGTTATACTGTCATGCCATTTCTGGCATGATGCCTAGACAGGTTTCAGTGCATTTTTACATTACCATTCTGCATCTACTTGAACACGCTGAATGACCAATCCTGCTTTTAACCAACCAATGGGCACAAGGCCCATTTCTTCCCTTTCTGCAGCAAGATTTTCCCAAAGAAAAAGAGAAATAATATCATTCAGCACTGTTAAAGCAGGTGTGAATGACTGACTCAGGAACAGCTACATGCAGCTGCTAATGGCAAATTTGAGGCTGCTGTAACCCCATGGAAAATAGCCAGGCATTACTGTGGAGTTTTTTAATAAAAAGACCTTGCAAATTATAGCAGTTCCTGCAAAGAGACTGCACTCTTCTGTCAAAGAGGGTAGTGCTCACAGCTCTCTTAGTCCCTGATGTCTAAATGTTCAAATTTTTCCCCTTGTGTGGTTGATATTCCTATTAACATTCTTAAATTTTAAATCACCTAGAGGAACTCAGCAACAGAATTCTGAATATATATTCTGATTTTGTTCCCTTTTTGCCTTTCAGTACTATACTTCAGTATGTGGGGCATTATAATTTCTTGAAAATGGGCTAAGGAATGCTGCACAAGAATAAAATATTATCAGGACCTGGTGCTACACAGCTGCCCAGTACATCTGCAACAAAGGGTACTCTCTCTGGCCCCATTCTTCTGCTACAGTGGGAAAGCACTCTCCCTACATCTGCCCCACGTAATCTGAGACAGAGAGGCTAAGAATTCATTATTTCTAGCTTTTAACCTTTCTTATATTCCTGCAAAATAGGTATACATATATATGAAAATGTATGTCTCTGCAGGAATCTACTGTCAAAAAACAACAACAACAAAAAGAAACACAACTCTATCTTTTTAAAGGAGAATGAGGAAAATGGGAGTAGCTTCCCTACAGCTGAGGTTTTTTGACACTTACCAAGAAGAGATATGGCATCAGCAAAGTTCTCAAATGAACATTCTAAAGTGCAATTGGTTCTGAATCTGCTTGTAAAGCACTTACACTGCAAAGTCAAAATCTATCAAGTGCAAGCAGAACTGTGCATCCAGCTCCAGCTGTGCTCTTGGGAGTTCCCACCAAAATGCCTTTGACATTATACACACACCATGTCTGTGACAGCAATTTGTCACACTTTACAGTGATCTCCATTTTTGGTGATTTGTTTTGATGCTTTCTTTGCCTTAGCACATAAGCCTTTCTGAAGAATTCTGCATCCAAACACCTTTAAAATGCACCTGCAATTAAAATTACAGGAAATACAATGGAAGACTAAAATAACTCAGACCCAAAAATGAATGACAGTGGTACAGAAGATTACTCTTTCCCCACCTAAAAATAAAACCAATTTTTTATTAAGTACACATGTATAACAAAGATTTTTTGGCTGTTTTCTCTTCCCATGAAGCACAGAGATTGAGTAAACAAACAGCTTCATAGATAATAAGGCAGATTGGACCTGTAAGGATGAGAGTTTTACTCCTAGCTCTTTCAAAGTGGAGCATTCTCTTTACTTCTTACTATTTCCTTCTGTCCTCCTTTCCAACCCCCTCCCCTGAAACTGGAGACAATAGGAGGGCACTTCTGAAATCTATGAATGAGGAGAACTAATCCTGGCATTTATTACAGAAATTGATAGATTCTGCAGTAAAAGCAAGAGCAGACAGTATGTCCCTCTTCAAAGCTTACTAGAACTAATAAAAATGAAGCTTGAGCTATACAGGTAACTAGAAAAGCTGTATGTCTGTCAGAAATAGACAGCATGATTAGCATCTGTCCTATCCAGTCTATTTTTTCCCCACTCTTCCCTGAGGAGCAGCTCACACAAGGAGTTTATTCTGCTTTCTGATCTCTTGCTTTTTGTTTTTAGGTACATCTTGATGAATACTATATACCCTGCCTACTGATAAGCAAAAAGCTCAATGTTCTTTAGTCTTGCTGGGAGATGAAGCTGTAGTCCTTGGTGGAACCACATCTAATGAAGAACTGGTGATAGGTACTGATAAGAGCCTGTGCTCTGCACAGATACAGTCCAGCTTTCTGGAGCAGCTAGCTACCATCTCAGGCACAGCTTCATTCAGTATGATGTATATCTGAAGGCCAACTAAGATCAGACTTTGTCTTCTAGGCTGGAGGGTGGGAAGAGATACCTCTTTGTGCAACTCCTTTCCTGCTTGCACCCCTAGGAGGACTTTGCACTTCTTGTATTCCTATTCAGCCTGCAGTATTGTGCACCCTTCAGGGCTGAGAAGTCTTTCCATGCCAAAGACTCCTAATTTGTAAGAGGAAAATTTGGTAATAGCATACATCTTTCTACCATCTGTTGCCAAGACGTTTCAAAATGCCTAAAATCTGCAACCCTTACTCTCCTTCACATCCCACATCTCGTTCCAAAATTGTCTAGTTTCCTTTTGCTTTTTCTGTTAGATGCGTGTTCTTATTTCCACCTTGTTTTTTTCTGTTATATGTGTGTCTTTATGTATTTCATTTTCCGTGGTTTTTAAAATTCAGTTTGCTTTGCACATGAGACTCAACAAGAGCACAGATCCCCAATGTGGTACTTGCTATGTGACTTCGAGAAGTCCCAAGACTAGAGGCCAGGACAAGATCTCCTGATATATCACTTCTGAGACTGCTAAACTTTGAATGTGCATCATGTAACTTGCTGCTGAATTAAATAGTTGTGATATAATAGGAAATACTTTTTAACTCCTTAGCAATATAAATAAATAAATGTATAAGTAAATAAATTCACCTATAAAACAGAAAATTTAAGATAAGAATGATTCTTAGTGAGTTTATCATTTTAACTTACCTGCTGCACCTCTCTTCTATTAATTTTATTTATTTGCGATAATGACCACCTACTGTTGGCAGTTCTTGTCATTTTGCTGGTTGACAGTGTGTCAAGGATGACTTCTCCACTGCAAATGTTGTTAGATTGAAGCTGACCCTCCCTTCCCCAAGTACTGTAGGGAAACAATTTCCCTCAAAAGCCCAACTTACAGCACAGTGCTTTCTGCAGCCTGCGGATTTTGATGGCCGTGCGGTAGGCGGAGAAGCGCACATTGTTCAAGTCAGCTGAAAGAGCAGAACAGAAACATGAGAGCCCCAAAAGTACAGCCCATAACTTTTCTTTGCATATAAATCTTCATATTTTGGAAGAGTCTGATATCCCTTCTCTTTGTAATTAATGAATAGGATCTATCAGAACAAATTAAAAAACCTGACAATTTGGGACCTCAGCTCAATTCACCTTCAGGGAAAGCCTCCTGATTGACAGACCAGGACCTTGAAGAAAGTGGCCCTCCAGAAATGCTTACACTATCTTGGTACATGTAATACATACATATACAAGAGAGTTTCACATAAGTATTTTGCACTGGTACATAGTTCCCAGACTCAAATACTCTCAGTTTCTCAAATAATTTACAACACCATCAGATAACATACAGGAAACAGAGGGCAGCAAGCATCACAGTAACAGAAAAAATGGCTTAAGCTTTAATTTATATGCCATGATTTTGCAAACTGTGCTTTAAAAGGGACAGTCAGCTTAGCTGTAAGCTCTGTTTTAGAAATTGATTGGTATGGTAACATTTTTTCCTCACTCAACAGTATTTTTACCCTTCCTCTACTTAGAATGGGAGATTTCACAGTAAATGTTGATGCTATCAAGGCATGTTGAACTGGCTGTACCATAATACAGTTTAGCTTTTACTGAAAAGGTAGCTGCTCTATTTTATTACCAAAATTAGTTCCTTGCAGACCAGCACCCTGGTTTAAACATGCAGAGAGCCTGTATAATTGGAAAATTCATTGTGAAGTTAAAAGAAAAAAAAACAAGGTACTGCATTAAAGCATACAGTCAGAGTACATGGTTCAGAATTAATAGTGCCAAAAGACAATACATAATGTGACCAAGGCAGCAGGTTTTGGACAAAGTGTGTCTCATCACAAATTGAGAAATGCTGTTACACTCAGGTCATGAGAACTCAAACATGGTCAGTATCCAAATGCAGCTTTTACTCATGGAATATAAATCACAATGGTTTAATAAATGCACTCACCTAAGGACTGGAAGAGATCAGTCATTTTAGGATGATCCCAACAAGTCGTCTGTGTCTCATGACTGCACAGAAACAAAGTAATTAAAGTTTCAGAAAACACACATATGCATTTCCAAAGAATAAAATCTTAAAGATATTCTGATTTTCTAAATTTAAGTGGTAAGAAATCCCTCAGCTCTAATTAAAATGCATGATCTGTACTACCCAGTTCCTTAATTTTATAATCACAAACTTAGTCAGATGATAGCCCACCCATATGTAACAATATTTACTTTTGATTCTAACTGTGATGGTAAGAGCTGGACTCTGACCCTGCAGCTAAGAGATACACTAATAAGGTAAAAGTACATTTCCTGTGCTGTAAATCTATAAATATATTTGTAAAAATAATTTTAAAATAAAAATATTGAGATTTTATTTCAATCTTCATTGCATATCTGAGCACATGTATCAGAATACAGACAATGAGGTTAAGCTTTACCCATAACATTTATTTAACATGTAACATGATCATTTAGGTTGGAAAGGACCTTTAAGATGGAGTCCAGTGGGAAACCGGATCACCATCCACACAAACAATCAATAAATATCTTGATTTAGGAGACATGCCCTACATTACTGTTCACAGAATAGAGGTTCAATAGGCAGCATCCCTTAACCTACTGATTAGTGTTGCTGTTTCAGTTTATCAGAGTTTCAAGTAGGCAGCCATAAGGGTCAAAACGTGTATTATGTCAGGTCCACTGAAATCTCCAATTCCCTTCTACAAGCCACACTTTACTTGTATTTATCAATATTAACTGCCGGAATGATTGCACATTCTTGTTTTACAAAGGATTTACATTTGAATTAGATTTGCAAGGTAACTAATCAGAGAGGTCATATTAAAAGGATCATAGGATTCCCTTTAAAAGTTAATGAAAATGAAATTATGCTGTCTTAGTAATTTAAAGTAATGTTCAGAGAACACTAAATATTTCACCTTTGTTTCTATTTAAAATTTGTTAATATACCCATTTTTTTCCTGCATAGAGGGAAACATGATTGTAAATAATGACTTTAAAAAGGCCAGTTTGGTATTAAATGTAGTGAACAGTATCATCATTTGCTACATATAAATGGCTGTACCTCAGTGAGTGCATAGTAATTTATCATCAAGGTTTACTTTTTAATTGAGAAGCCAACCAAGAATGATCCCTTTTATGTTAGGTGGTACAAAAAAATTGTATAGAAAGTCATTGCTCCAAAGAACTGCAGAGACAGGATATGTACCATAAGGGAAGGCAAGCTCCTAACAATTTAAGTGCTGAGGATCCTTTTGTGTATGCATTTGGCTCAAACTTACACCAGTGGAAAGTGCTTGAAATGGGTCTTTGTACATAGGACACAATCCACATTTTACAGTCCATTCCAGCTTTGAGACTAGCCTAGGTACTCAGAGAAAGCTTCTCCCCATCATGCTTCACACTCTGCCATGGATCTCAATTTGTCTATATGGCATAATCACAACTCTGTGAGGGGTTCTTCAAGGACATTCATAGGCAAAGTGTGTATTTCCTATTAATACAATAAGTTTAAATTCTCTTTTCGCTCTTTGTGATTACTCCCTAGTCACTGACTGAACATGACTACATTTAAACAAGAGATTTATACAATAACCAAGACTTCTACCAGAACATGATTGACTCTAAAATACTATAGCAAACTCTCCTCAATTCAAAAGAAAGCACTTAAATACATCTTTACACCTGAATACATCTTCCTGAATAGAAGATTTTATTTCATTTCATTCTGATATCATTATCACATGAATTCCATTCACGTTTCAAATTTCCAATAAGGTGGTTGAGGCTCTGGTAATGCTAAACTCCAAAGCTCATGCATGCCAGTAAATCAGTGGGTTTGCACTTTTTAGGTAGATAATTCTAAAACAGCACTATGCCTATCTTTGTCCAAAAAAGTAATTTCAAAAACAAGTAGATTGACAATCATTTTCCTATAAAAGGCACACCAATAAAACCAATCATGAAGCCAGCAACAAGAATGTATTTGGATTTCATGCTTTGCCATGGTAAAGGCTGGTGACTGTCCAGCATTCTCACTCTGCTGTCTAAAGACTATAGTATATCAGGAAAAAGCACATATACAGCTTCAGTAAATACTGAAGTAAACAGGAACAGGAAATACAATGTAATAGTTCATACTGCTCAACTTATTTAATACTCTCAAAACTACTCTGGAAACTGCCAAATGTCTCCACTATCATGTTAACAGGATGATATAAATATGTTGCCATTTAGAATTGTTGACTAAATCCACTGCAACTGCACACAGAAATGAATACAATATGTGATCAATTTAATAAAGCTTGATTTAAAGACATGGCTTTAACTCAAATTCCCTTCCAACTCAAAGCCCCTTCCCAAAGTCAAGCCCCAAATCAAAACAAAATCCCCCAAAACAGTTGATTTTACTGTCAACATTCTAAGTTAAAGGATTTCTTAGGATATTCTGAGAAAAATAAAGCCTTAACTAAAACACCTTCGATCTTTTATGTTAAAAGTAAAGGTAGGTGGCAGTACTGTGACAGAAGCTGAAAATACATGTATACACAGACAGATATTTCCTTCTATTTAAAACATTGAAATATCAATGCAAACACTATATGTAAACTACATGCAATTTAGCTGAGTTAAATCCTGTTTACTGCCTTAGAAACTATGATGGCAAAACTAGCCATCATCATAGGGACTTTGCTGAATTGCAGCCATTATTTCCCAGTTCCCTGTTTTCTGGAATTAAACATATGGTTCCATGAGCAAATATGTTTCTGACTAGTGGGGTGCTGTGAGGATATTCCTGAGAGCTGCAGCAGAAATGGAAAGTTTATTTAGCTAGGTCCTTTTCTATTTTTTCTTTACTTTTTTTTTAATTGTTAAAAATATAGAAGAAATATACGTATATGCTTGGATAAATCTTTGCCTTTTTTTTATTCCCCCTCTGGAAATATACTTCATTATGAATTTGCAATACTTAATTAGGATGTGGGTATAGTTAATTGCAATTTAGATTCCAGCTTCTAAGTAATTTATAAACTCATATGCAATGAATAAGAGCTGATTTGACTAATCAAACTTTATCCCTTAAATCAAGTTTCCAAAAATTAAGAGCAAACAGTTTCACTATTGAAATTGTATACTTTAAATGCAGAGTTTCAGTACAGTTTTATCTGAAAGACTAAAATCACTTTAACAGTGAAAACATGCGATAAAAAATGCCTGTTTTCTATTTTGTGTTTACTTAACATGAAGTGGAAAAAGTAAATGAGATATCAAAAAAATTCTGTATCCTGAACTATAATCTCATTTCTCCATTTGATGCAGTGAGCACCTGAACAGCTAAATTTTCTCTTTACAGAAAAACACAGAACATGAAATTCATGCCTAATAAAATAATGAATGTAAAATATTTTTCTGTTTCTATTTTAATTGCAAAAAACATACAATTGTGCCAGACTGCATAAAGACCAATGGGCTTTTAAAAGTTATCACTCAGTTTCTTTCTATGCCACACAGATTTTGTAAGAAAGGAGGCCAAGTGAGCATCATCTGGTACAACTGAAAAAAAGCAAGAGAGGATCCCTTCCAATTCCTTAAAGTCAGTACTACCTGACAGCTGCTAAGTGACTACAGAGGGTGAACATGACTGTGCCAGCCTAATCCCAAAACACCCAGCAAGAAATCATGGGTAACAGCCAAGCAATTCCATACAAGGTTTCCGCAGAGAAGAGGAATGGGCTCAGAGCTAATGAATCACCAGCTCAACAGTCTGTTCAGGTCAAGGGAAGGCAGCAGCTTCACAGTCACAGGCAGTGCTGCTACCACCACCAAGTATATTCCATAGGTAGGAATGGACAGAGACATGGGAAAAAACATGATTGCAAATTTAATAAGAGCTACAAAAAATAATTTCATTCAACTTCCAAAAAGATTCAAACCAAGAACTTAACCAAGAGCAGAGAAACCTGCAGATTCTTCTCTCTCTGTTACAACTACCAGGGCACTTCTGTCCCAGGTCACAGTGATGACTGTGCAAGGAGCACTTTCTCATGTAAGCACCCGGCTAATGTCAAGAACTACTCAGAGTGAGGTGATATTAACTTTGATAGAAGATGAACAACAATTGGGCCCATTATTCTTCTTGCTTGTAGATGGCACCCAAAAAAAGAATTTTTCAAGGAGTCCAGGGTACAAGATTTCCTTCTGTTCAGTGGGTGGCATAAGGAGGGATTTCTGCTATTACAGAAGTGAGCTGCTCTACAGGGCAGTAACACAAGTGGTATGAACATATTACATCTCTCCTTATGCTTTACTTAGGGAAAAATTAAAAACATTTCACTGAGAAGCGATTTTTTTTTTGTTCCTATCAAAACTATGAATTATTCAGAGCAAGAGTCTTCTAAATCTCTTCTGCCAAACTTATGGACCCAATATGAGCCACATAGCAAAACATGCATCCATGAATATATTACCTGACAAAGCAGTGAAATTTAAAAAGTCTAAATGCATTTGTGTAAATGTCACTAACAAAAACCCATGATAACCATAAAATATTCCAAACTACAAACCATCCACATATTAACGAAGTGCTCTAAAACTTACATGACAGACATTTGCCCTTACAATCTGTTTCTTATCCATTATGTTTGCTGGCAGCTTTCTAATTATAATTGGCAAAGATAAACCATTTAAAAAGCACTTCCTGATTGTAAATAAAAAGCTGCGAAACAGTTAGTATGTAATTTAATTTATACTCTAGAAATAAAAGAACAGTCCTGTTGAAATGAATGGATTAAGTTTAACATCTCAGGTCTTTCAAGATGCTCATAGAGTTGTGAAAAAAATCCATTTGTTCTTTTCCAGCTTTTTTGTACAAGAAATAAAACAAGAAACAGGTGGGTATTTTTTATCATTTCTTATAATGGACAAGGCCTCTGTTGATAATCACTGGTGAACACTACAAGAAACAGCATTCTGGCATGATGTTAAGTACCTTTCTGTTC